AAAGGGCAACGCTTGCAGCAGGTACTGCCTCAGAGGACCCCCCTCTGAGGGACTGGTGGACGACCCCATCCTCACTTTTCTTTCTTGGATATCCAGAGCGAGCGAGGTCACCTTCTGCGTCATCAGCATGAGGACAGAAAGAGCCACGGAGAACCTGGAACCAGAGAAGAGGGGGGGCGGATGGCTAATTGTCCCAAAGCATCATGGGTAATGTAGAATCATGGGAAAGGTGCTAAGAATTCTCTGGGGTATAATGCCGTGGAGTCTGCCTTCCAAAGCAGCCCTTTCCTTCAGGGAAACTGATCTCTGGAAATAAATTGTAATCCCAGGAGATCTCCCTGCCAATGCTCCCTCTAAGCTGTGGAGTCCTGTGAGCAAAAAATTCTACTTTGTGCGCTACTGGCATTAAAGTTGTGAGCGAGTAATTTGGCTACTGCATAAATTAGTTTGCTCTGGAGCCATCCTTCCTGAGCTGAGGCAAAAATGTGTGAGCTGGAGGCCAAAAAACTGTGAGCTAGCTCACACTAACTCAACTTAGAGGGAACACTGCCCCCTGCCCGCCCAACCCCCATACGCAGGGAACATCTGATTTGGCAAAGGACTGGGGGGGGGGGACAGGGACTCCAGCTGCCCTGACCTGGTTAGCCCAGGCTAGCCTGATCTCGTCAGATCTCGGAAGCTCAGCAGGGCCGGCCCTGGTTAGAACTTGGATGGGAGACCTCCAAAGAATACCAGGGGCGTGATGCAGAGGCAGGCGATGGCAAACCAACCTCTGAAATGTCTCTTGCCTTAAAAACAAGTCCAGCCCGCCACCTAAGCAAGCTGCCGAGATCACTGCACAAACAGCGTCCTAGGTTGATCGCGTTACCTGATGCACACAGCTTCTTCCAGGTAATACTCTTTATAATGCAGTCCCATGTGGCAAAGGGTCTGCCAGGCCATCTGAAAGGAAAATGCCCATTTGTGGGCTTGCTGTGGGCCAGCTGAATGGATCACAGCGACAGAACCGAAGGCGGGTAGGAGTACCAGCAGCGCATAGCGCCTCATGGCAGAGCAGGCCAGGACGAAACCGCTCACCAGAAGACAGGTGTACCTACAAGACATCAGAAGTGTTTTCAGAGTCGGCGGGCACAGTGTGAGAACTTCCCTGCTGTAGAGTTCAGTCTGTGTTATACTCCTTATTTCTTATGTGTGTGTAGAAGACCATCAAGCCGCAGCTGAATTATGGTGACCCCAGCAAGGGGCTTGAAAGGCCAGTGAGAAGCAGAGGTGGTTTTGCCCTCGCCTTCCTCTACAGAGGCTTCCTTGGTGGTCTCCCTTCCAAGTGCAGACCCTGAACATAAGAACATAAGAGACGCCAATGTTGGATCAGGCCAAAGGCCCATCCAGTCCAACACTCTGTGTCACACAGTGGCCAGAAATACCAGTGCCATCAGGAGGTCCAGCAGTGGGGCCAGGACATTAGAAGCCCTCCCACTGTTGACCCCCCCCCAAGCACCAAGAAGAGGAGTTTCAGAGCGGCTTACAATCCCTTTTTTCATTCTCTTAAGGCTTGGCTGATGGGTTTTTTTTTTCTTTTCATGTGTTTATTTTTGCAATACTGCCGTAATGCTTAGCTTCCACGATCTGATGAGGTCAGGCTACAACATGCCGCCTTCCCCTCCCTCCTTAGTTCTTATAGAGGATCCAAAACAGAAGTAAGTGACCTAATGGAAAATGAGGCCTGAGAGAAGAAAAAGAAGAAGAAGAGATTGGATTTATACCCTGCCCTTCACTACCCGAAGGAGTCTCAGAGCGGCTTACAATCCCTCCCCCTCCCCACAACAGACACCCTGTGAGGTAGGTGGGGCCGAGAGAGCTCTTTTGAGGACTGCTCTTGAGAGAACAGCTCTGAAAGAACTTGTGACTGACCCAAGGTCTCCCCAGCAGCTGCATGTGGAGGAGTGGGGAATCAAACCTGGTTCTCCCAGATTAGAGTCTGTGCTCTTAACCATTACACCAAACTAGCTCTCCTGGAATGAGATGCAGACCAGAGATTCCTGACCCAGCGCTTAATGCCTAATATGAAGGCAAGAAAGATGTCGCCAGGCAGAGGACACTGTGCGGTCGCAGACAAAAACACCGCTGCAGTTTTGAAACAAAAGCATCACCGGATTTCCATGTGTCGCTGGCCAGAAGTTCCACCATATCCTGACATAAGAGGGTCTTAATATCACAATGACCCTGTTACGGGCTCTTACAGGCCACCACCTTGAGGACACCACTCGGGGTTTCTCTTACGAGGGACCTTGCTAGCTTCGGGTAGTAGCGGGGACCACTTACCCACTGGCTCCGTTCATCGTTATAAAACTCTCCTGGTTCACTCCAAGGCTTTTAAAACCGGCGGAAATTAGTAGACCGGACTCCGTTGTTTAACAGAATAAAACGGCTTTACTGTGACACCTTGCATTTCCTTCCAGCACAACCTTAATCAGATACACGTTCCATATGTTCCAACAATTAAACGCCCTCCAGGATCCTTCCCAAAATGTGTCAGTTCCCTCTGGCTGTTAGCCTCCAACCGCTCACAACCACCTCACTCACGCTCCGTCCCCATCTCCCCCTTGTGTCCGTTTTCTGTCCATCAACCTCCCGAACATTCCATTTCTCCACACCGCCCTATGTCTGCACATCGCCCTTCTCCAGGTGTTCCCTTTTTGGAATCTGTCACAGACCCAAAATATCAGCTTCCCCCCCCCCTTCTCTTTTTATTGTCGCATCTGGCCCGATGAAAACTTCTGGGTGACTCAAAATCTCGCACACTGTGACGTGTCACTGGGCGGGTCCTCATAAAAAGTGTTACAGGGATTATCTCCTTGACTTTAACTTTTTGAACCAGCACCCCTTTAAGCGACTTGTCTGTGAAGCGGCGGCCTCACGAAGCTGGTGTCAGGGTACCCTTTCGCGGGGCAGCTGCCGGGGCCGGGTTTCCGGTGGGGCCCAGTGCCACCAACTCCCTGCTCCCGACCAGTGTGCCCTTCCCCCACCCCTTCCCTTGCAAATGCCACAGGCAGCTAATGTAGCTGTGAGCACAGGTGGTGGGAGGGTGCCAGGCAGGTGGGTGGACTTGGCACTCTGTGCCTGAGGCCCCCCCCAAACCCAGAACCAGCCCTGCAGGTTAGATCTTTCTAACCTCTTTAACAAATTCTGAAGCTTTGGAGCCATTTCAAGAGTCTAAAGTCGCCAGCTGCCTGGAGAAAAAAATGTCCCACTTAACGGGATGGTGTTTGCCAGGTGATATTATTTGCCTCTTCAGCTGCTCCTTTCCACACATGAAGCCTCCGTTCAAGGGGTCAGACATTTTCCTGCAGGCCTGCGTGCCACCCCAAGAGAGGCCCTCTTCTTACCTGTCCTACGGCCAAGTTGGAACTGCGGAAAGTACCCGCTGATGTTCCCTGCTGGCAAACGCTCCACCTGCCAATTGTGGAGAGTACGGGGGCTTTTTTCATTCTCTAAGGCTTGGCTGGTGGAGTGGGTTTTTTTTGCATGGCTTTATTTTTGCAATACTGCCGTCATTTTCTCAGCACTGTTATAATTTTTGCCGTATACGCCATTCAGTTTTAAATCATTATTGTCATGATCACTGTCGTAGTCGATTTTATAGTGTGTACTGATCGGCCTGCTTAGGGCTTGGATGGGAGACCACCAAAGCCCTGGGATAAATGCACCCTGGTGGCCTAACCTGGACCCAGACGGCCCAAGCTAGCCTGATTTTGTCAGATCCCTGCCGCTGCTGGCCCCCAGCGAAGTCCAGGGTTGCTACGCAGAGGCAGGCAATGGCAAACCACCTCTGTTCATCTCTTACCCTGAAAACTCTACAGGGTCACTCTAAAATCGGCTGCAGTAAAAGGTAAAGGTAAAGGTTCCCTTGCTCGAAAGACAGTCGAATCCGACTCTAAGGTTGCGGTGCTCATCTCCGTTTCAAAGCCGAAGAGCCAGCGCTGTCCGAAGATGTTTCCGTGGTCATGTGGCTGGGCATGACTAAACACCAAGGCGCACGGAACGCTGTTACCTTCCCACCGAAGTGGTACCTATTTATCTACTTGCGATTTCTTGCTTTCGAACTGCTAGGTTGGCAGGAGCTGGAACTAGAGACGGGAGCTCACTCCATCATGCGGCACACTCGGGTCTCGAACTGCTGAACTACCGACCTTCCACAGCCTGCAGTTCAGCATCTTAACCACTTGAGCCACCGCAGCTCCTTAGAAAGTCGGCCACAACTTGACAGCAATTCCCAGCACCACCACAATTGTCTTTTGTTATTCCTGCGGCTTTTAGTTACTCTGGTTTTGCACTCGTTGATGTTCCTGCTTGGGTCTCCTACTGAATTTTTAGGACTTGTTTGTATTGTGCACTTTATACCCTGCGGACTCTGTTAAAAAAGCAGAGATCGCTTTCAAGTCAGCAAAGTAACAGATTCTTGTGAGGTCGTCCATCGCTGTGTGTGTGCTGCCTGTTGAAAACAGTCTGCCAGAGACAATGCGGAACCCTTAGTGTACAAGAATAGCCACAAACAACGCCCACCAAGGGAAGACCATCTACAATTCATTTTCAGGTATTCAAGGCCCACTGAAGGTCCTATAGGTACCCTTTGTCGATCTGGCTGCTGCTTTTGATTCGATTGAACTGCAGCCGAAGAGGCCCACTGTGGAAAGAATAACAGCTGGACGCCTCTCCCAGGTATAAATCAAGGCGTTTCAATGATCTTCAACAGCGGCTGGAATCCTAGGACTCCATTGACGCTATTGAGCTCTGCCTGTGTTATTTTGGAAATCGGGTTCCGTTTTACCAGCCGCTGCAGTTACCTTCTGTGTGGAGGTCTACGGACACTATGTATGGAATTACAGAGGAGCCTACTGTGGGTTTTGAATATGTTTTTCTTGTAAACTATGCTTGTTATGAGCAATCTGTTGGTTCAGCGTCTATACACTCTATCGGGTTATTATGACCGCTAACCCTTCTTTGTATTTCAGTGAATGCAATATACAGTTTTGAGCACATATCGTTGTGAATTGTAGACGGTCTTCCCTGGGTGGGTGTTGTTTGTTGAAAAGAGTCTCGCAAAAAATAAAATTAGACATAAAATAAACGTACATACCTTGCATTTATAGACAGATACTGAGAAGTCCATAGAGGATGGCAGAGACCAGCAAATGGAAAAGCAGCCAGCTGGTACAAAGCTGTCGGGTGATTTGAAAACAGCGTTTCCCAGTTCATTGGGACCCTGTTTGTCAGAATGCTCTTTTGCTGGAGACTTTCCACTCCTCTCTTGCCTTGACAAGGGACTGCTACACGTACGTCTCTGCATTTCCCCTATATTGGAGGGGCCCAGGAATGGAGGATCAGCCAAGATCACCAAGGTCAGCCAGTCTCTCGGAGACGAGAACCGAGGTGCTAAGGAGATCTGGCTATCTGCCTTGAGCTTCCTGAAACACATTACCGGAGGAAAACGAGGAAAGCTGGGCTTTGTTTGCTCAAATGCCATCTCTGCAGAGAGTCTGTGACACGAAGGCTTGGATTGACAGGCCTTACCCGCTTGTTCTGTCGGCTTCCTTTTCAATACTGATCGCAAGGACAGGTGAAAGCAGAGATAAGAGCCCGCTGCGTCAAGCTGTTTCAACACCTCCGTGACACAGGAAGCCATTTCAGCAACTCTCACACTTTCAAAGGGGGTCAAGAATGCAGACTGCAGTCAAGTGAATGCTGATTGTAAGAAGTCTGTTCCGCAGCGCCAAGTCGAAGGTGGCAGGCACGGAAAGTGATTGTCACATTTGGTGGGTATGCTATGAGGGACAGTCAGTGTTTTATGGCTGGAGTTGCATACTGGTAAGAGTGACGGACACTAGGACAGGAGAGATCTGGGTTCAAATCCCCTCACACCCTGAAACTTCCTGGGTGACCTTGGACCAGTTACTGGCAATGTTCCCTCTAAGCTGCAGGGTCTTGTGAGCAAAAATTCTACTTTGTGAGCCGCTGGCATTAAAGTTGTGAGCGAGGCATTTGGATACTGCATAAATCAGTTTGCTCTGGAGCCATCCTTCCTGAGCGAAGACAAAAATGTGTGAGCCGGAGGCTAAAAAACTGTGAGCTAGCTCACACTAACTCAGCTTAGAGGGAACACTGGTTACTGGTCCATTCTGCATCTGGCATTTGCTCCACATTGTCCCAGCTTGCTTCGGAATACCTGTTTTCATTGCATTGGGTCAGATCCTGATTTCTGCCATCTATTTTGTTTTCAGCGCTCACTCCTGCACGGGTATGCAGATTTTCCTGTGTCAGTACTTGCCTCAGTGGTCATTAGCCGCCTGAGCCAAGTAATTCATGGTGAGGTGATAAATAGGGGTGGGGAAACTGGCGGAGATCAATGAAGCCACATCAAGTTTGTCCGCTTATTCACTTTGAATCGGAAGTGGAGGAAGGAAAAGGTGCCGCTCAAAACCAGATTCAGATATACTGGGGGCAACGCCATACTGACCACGAAGTCACCCCTGAACGACCATAAATCTATGCAGAAGGTGCCATAAAACCCGATGAACAAAGAAAGTGAAAGCGGCATGCAGTGTAGAGGGAGATTAACCTCCCGACGTGGCTGTGGGAAAACTGCAAGAAAACAGATGGGTGCAGAATCAGCCCTCTCTCAGCCTAACCTACCTCACGGTGAGGGTGAAATGGAAGAGGAGAGAACCATATATGCTGCTTCGACCTCCTGGGAGGTAGAACATAATGCAAATGCATTAAAGAAATGCTAAATGTTGCCTTGGAGGGAAATCTGAGGACAACTTCTCAAAATGTTTTTAGTGTGCATACAGGTGCACTAGCGTTTTCTAGGTTTCATCCTCCTCTTCTGGGTTCCCAGAGATTAGCTGGGAAACTGCGTACAGAGTTACATCCTTCTATGCCCAGTGACTTCAAGGAACTTAGAATGGCATAACTTTGTTCAGGACAGCATTGTAAATGTGCTGGGGGCGGGGGAGATACTCATGACCTCTGCACATGTAAACACAAATGCACACTCACCCAAACTGCCAGAGCATGGCTTTCATTGCACGTACATATCTCGTAGCCGCCTATCTATGTAATGACTGTGGTTGAATACATTTGAGCCACACTTGATAGACAAAAGGAAGTACTGCTTCATGCACTGAGTAGCTGATTTGTGCAACTAATTGCCACAAGATATGGGGAGGGGGCCCTGACCTGGATAGTCCGGGCAAGCCTGATCCTGTCAGATCTAGGCAGCTAAGCATGGTCAGAGTGAGCTAGTATTCGGATGGGAGACCTCCTTGGAATACGAGAGGCG